GCTGCAAACAACCAAATCAGTAGTTTGTCTCTTTTTAAGAATGACTTGCTACACTGATAAAGGCACTTTGTTCTTGATTTTCAGATACTTTTTTTGTATGTATGAACTTTAAGCACGCACCAAATTCTTTGCACACCAGAAAGGACTTCTTCTTTTTTTTTTTTTTTAATTTTTGGAGCACTGTAAAACTATTCACATTCCAAATAAAAATAAATAAATAATGTAAATTTAAAAAAATGAAATAAAAGCAAGAATCACAACCAGTGCTGTTTGTTTTTTTTAATACTATCTATACTAAGAATCACTCCAGTATATGTTACTAATCAAAATGCTACTTTAGACAAGAAGATTATGCACTTTGACATTATTTAAAGAATAAAAAACAAGATAATATGACTTGCAAAAACACGAACTGTGTGAATGACTCTAACCCCTCCCCCCCACCCTAAAAACCCTCAAAAACATTAAGTATTACATTTCACCACCACATATTGGATTCTGTGAAAATGACCCTTATAGAGATCATTTATCTTTGCTGATAGCTGTGTGAGTTTGGATCATATCCATCTGCAGGTCACACATTTGACATGCTTTTCAGATATGGTCAGAACATTACTTGCAGCATTACGTGTCTGCTCCATTGAACTTTGACATTGTTCTTTTTTACTGTGGCAGGGTGACCAAATGCAGATAAACTTGCTGTGAGACAAAGGCAGCATTTGTGTGGGACACCTCTGAATTTAATCTAACTTACAAATAAAAATAAACTGTGGACTGCAAGTGTGGCAAGATTAGTATTCTTCTGTGCCTGGGATTAAATATTCATACACTGTCACACATTTTAACAATTATGACACATACATAAAAAATGCCTCTTCACGCTATACTTTTATGCTGTGTGAAGCTAAAAATTTACTCAGTTTCCATCATGTTTACTGAAATCTGCAGTGCTAAATTTTTGGTGACTTGCAACTTTACCTGCTGGACAGCAACTTCACCTGACTGTAATTAAAAACTTTTCAAGTTTTCTTTAGATGCACTGGGTAAAAATCCACAATTTAGACATCTTCTTTGTCGTCTAAATAAAGATCCCATTATTATATCCAAGTAAATGCCCCCCCCATCCTTCACATACTTAAGTCCCGGCCTATAGAAGTTTGTTTCAGGTAAGGAATAACAAACTTCTTGTCGTAGCTTATGGTCATAGCACCCTTAGCATTCTCATCTGATCTGGGAAACTAAGCAGGATTGGGCCCGTTTAGTACCTAGTTGGAAGACCACATGTGAAAATGAGGAACTCTATGTTTGAGGTGGCTGTGGCTCAGGAGGTTGAGTGGCTT